TACATTCTCCTTTCTGCCTCACTGTTTATAAAGCACTGCGAGAGGCAGGAGATCTGCATAATAGGTGGTTCAGCATTCTTATTTTATAAAGTAAAAGCAAACAAAAACAAGCCAGAAAGAAACAGGTGAAGAGAAAGGAGAAGACACTAACATCATTTAAGCACTCATGTGGCCTATACCCCAGGAATCTTAGATCCCTCATTCCACTTTCAGAACCTCCCTGGAAGGCAGTATTGTTCCCATTTTATAGAAACGGAAGCTTACGGGCCAGGCGGAGTGTCCAAGTCACACAGCAACAAAGTGGCAGAGCCAGAAGCTGAAGTACATCCTTTGACCTCTGTCAAGTAAATTGAGTGCAGATTCTACAGCCCCACATGAGGAAACCCAATCCCAGAGCGGTAACATGCCCTGCAGAAGGTCACGTAGCTAGTAAATAGCAGGCCTGGAATCTGACTGTAAATTCTGCTCTGAAGCTTGAAGTGGACAGTCTCTGTTTTAACAAGTCGTTTTGCTTGCTGGTGGGAAACAGAGCTCAGGGAAGAAAGTGAGATGTCACGCACAAATTGATCTGTTTAGATTAGATTAGATAAATTCGGTGGGGGGTGTCACTTGCAGGGAGAGGTCCCTAAACTAGAACTCCACAAAGCAAATGAACATGTTGGGTATGAAAAGAAATAAATACTGGAGGCTATGCTGAGCAAAGAACTGAATCTTAAATTTCACCACTCAGCCTTAATTGAATCTTTAAAATAACAACTGACTTTATCAACAAATGACACATGTTCTTAATACAAAATTTAAAAATACAACAGATATGATGTGAAAAGTCCCTCTCCTTCCCTCCTTCACCCTTTTCCCAGCCTGACCACTACAGAGTACCCAGAAACCCTGATTTGACCTAAATAAAGAGGGTTCTAGGTATTAAAAGAGGCTACTCTTTCCATGGTGTGACCTGAGAAGTGGAGAAAGATCCAATGCTTTGTAAAAATACGTCTCCACTGGCTTGGTTCTATCTTCCCTTTCTACTTGGCAAGAAATGCCCCTCCCCCCACCCCCTCCCTGTGAGAGGTGATTTTTTCTGCTAAACAAAGAGGAGGACATTACTTCCAGAACTACATAGGAAAAGCATAATTTTGTCAAGGGCCTTTCTGTTCACCTTTTCATCAACCCAATCATTATTTTATCTGATCTTTCTTTCTTTTTTTTTTTTGAGACAGAGTCTCACTCTGTTGCCCAGGCTGGAGTGCAATGGTCCATCTCGGTTCACTGCAACCTCAGCCTCCCAGGTCAGGCAATCCTCATGCCTCAGCCTCCCAAGTAGATGGGAGTACAGGTGTGAGCCACCATCCCCAGCTAATTGTTAAATTTTTAAAATTTTTTTTGAGATGGAGTTTCGCTCTTGTTGCCCAGGCTGGAGTGCAATGGCGTGATCTTGGCTCACTGCAACCTCTGCCTCCCAGGTTCAAGCGAGTCTCCTGCCTCAGGCTCCCAAGTAGCTGGTATTACAGGTACGCACCACCAAGCCCAGTAAATTTTTGTGTTGTTTTGTAGAGATGGGGCTTCTCCATGTTGGTCAGGCTGTCTCAAACTCCCAACCTCAGGTGATCTGCCAGCCTCAGCCTTCCAAAGTGTTGGGATTACAGGTGTGAGCCACTGTGCCAGGGCCAATTTTTGTATTTTTAGTAGAGACAGGGTTTCACCGTGTTGGCAGGGTGGTCTGGAACTCCTGACCTCAGGTGATCCACCCATCTCTGCCTCCCAAAGTGCTAGGATTATAGGCATGAGCCACCATGCCTTGCCTGGCCCCTTGTCATTTTTGTTCTCTCTACTCTCTTCTTCAAAACATACACCCATATGGGGAGGCCCTAAGGGACCCTCACTAAGGCTTAACTGATTTTAGGATTTTATTTATTTATTTATTTCATTTATTTTGAGACACGGCCTCACTCTTGTTGCCCAGGCTGGAGTGCAATGGCAAAATCTCAGCTCACTGCAACCTCTGCCTCCTGGGTTCAAGCGAGTTTCCTGCCTTAGCCTCCCAAATAGCTGAGATTACAGGCATGTGCCACTACCCTTGGCTAATTTCTATTTCTTTCTTTCTTTTTTTTTTTTTTTGAGACAGAGTCTTGCTCTGTCACCCAGGCTAGAGTGCAATGGCGAGATCTCAGCTCACTGCAACCTCTGCCTCTCTGGTTCAAATGATTCTCCTGCCTCAGCCTCCCGAGTAGTTGGGATTACAGGCTCCTGCCACTATGCTTGGCTAATTTTTGTGGGGTTTTACTATGTTGATCAGGCTGGTCTCAAACTCCTAACCTCAGGTGATCCACCCACCTGAGCATGAGCCGCTGGGCCCGGCCTGATTGCAGGATATTAAATATAATACATTTCTTCACAAGCCCCACATTTTCCAGAAGGGCTAGCTTGACAAACTAGATTTTGCTCATGGGTGAAATACGAAGAATTTATAATCAAGTGGCTTTCTCCCTTCCCTAGTGCCCTGCCACTGATCCCTCAAGAACATAATTTAGGAAGACCCTCTGGGCTCAGTGGCTCACGCCTATAATCCTAGCACTTTGGGAGCCTGAGGTGGGCGGATCACTTGAGATCAGGAGTTGAGACCAACCTGGCCAACATAATGAAGCCCTGTGTCTACTAAAAATGCAAAAAAATTAGCTGGCCGCGGTGGCGTGTGCCTGTGATCTCAGCTACTCGGGAGGCTGAGGCAGGAGAATCGCTTGAACCTAGGAGGCAGAGGTTGCAGTGAACGAAGATTGAGCCACTGCACTCCAGCCTGGGCAACAGAGCAAGATTCCTTCTCAAAAACAAAAAAATTTAGGAAGACACTTTGCCCCTATTATTTTTTTTTTCTTGTTTGTTTGTTTTGAGATGGAGTTTTGCTCTTGTTGACCAGGCTGGAATGCAATGGCATGATCTCAGCTCACTGCAAACTCCACCTCCAGGGTTCAAGCAATTCTCCTGTCTCAGCCTCCTAAGCAGCTGGGACTACAGGCACACACCACCACGCTTGTCTAAGTTTGTATTTTTAGTAGAGATGGGGTTTCACAATGTTGGCCAGGCTGGTCTGGAACTCCTGACCTCAGATGATCCACCAGCGTAGGCCTCCCAAAGTGCTGGGATTACAGGCATGAGCCACCGCTCCTGGCTGCCCCTACTCGTTTTATACAAAGTGAACTAACAGAAAGAAGGTGAAGAGATTTTCTTGGGATGTTACCAACTCTCCACTGTTTAGCAGGTCTTCTCTAGCTTCACAACAGACATAGCTAACGAGGCAGAGCTCACACCGATTTGGTCTGTCTTTCTAATCCTGAACAAAATCTTTATCCTTCCACTTTGAGTTTCTTGTTGTTTTTTTTTTTTTGAGACCTAGTCTCACTCTGTCACCCAGGCTAGAGTACAGTGGTGGGACCCACAGCCTCCACCTCCTGGGTTGAGGTGATCCTCCTGCCTCAGCCTCTCCCTGAGTAGCTGGGACTACAGGCATCACCACCACACCTGGCTGAAACGGGTTTTTTTCCATGTTGCCCAGGCTGATCTTGAACTGCTGAGCTCAAGCAATCCACCTGCCTCAGCCTCCCAAAGTACTGGGATCACAGGCATGAGCCACCATGTTAGGCTGATATTTTGTAGAGATAGGGTCTCACCATGTTGCCCAGACCGATCAAAATTCTTACCTATCTTTGTTCTTCGTCTTCCAGCATGAAAATCGTCTTTCTCTTTTTTTCCATTGAGATATAATTCACATACCACAAAATCCACCTCAGATGTGGATAAAATCTGAGGTGGATTTTATGTTATGTGAATTATAAAATCCACCTTTAAAAAAAGTTATCTTTCTTAGTGAAAGAAAAATAGACCTTATATAGTTCACCAGCAATCATGATACTGCTTTCTAAAAGCAGTGGCCTCTTGCCCTTCTTGAAGGATGGCAAGGGTCCCAAAGTCATGGTAAAGACTGAGAGCAATGGTCACAGTAGAAAGACAGAGGCAGGGAAGTGCAAGGCACAGGCTTTGCCTAATCAGAAAGGAGTAGTTAATCCTTTTCGACTATTTTCTCTTCTGACTAGCTTGTCGTTCCTTATTCACATTAAGTGATATTTTTTCAAATACCATAGGCTGAATTAGATACAAATTTGTTTATTTATTTATTGAGACTGAGTCTCTCTCACTCTGTCACCTAGTCTAGAGTGCAATGGTGTGGTCTTGGCTCACTGCAACCTCTGCCTCCCAGGTTCAAGCGATTCTCCTGCCTCAGCCTCCCGAGTAGCTGGGACTACAGGCCCCTGCCACCATGCCTGGCTAATTTTTCGTATTTTTAGTAGAGACAGGGTTTCACTGTGTTAGCCAGGATGATCTTGATCTCCTGACCTCGTGATCTGTCTGCCATGGCCTCTCTAAGCGCTGGGATTACAGGTGTGAGCCACTGCGCCTGGCCCACAAATTTATTTTTTATGTAGTTTAGATTTACGCTGCTCAGGCCCATCTTAAGAGTCTCTTGTGTTCTAGGCATTGTTATCTTTGGATATAATTTGTATCATACATACAATTAAAATATAATCGTATTCTAAATCAAAGGTCATATTTTGCTCTAAAATTGCGATGGAATTTTGTATAAATTTTTTTTTAAATTATTTGGGCCAGGTGGAGTGCTGCTCACCTGTAATCCCAGCCCTTTCGAGGCTGAGGTAAGAGGATTACTTGAGCCCAGGAGTTTGAGGCCCGCCTGAGCAACATAGCAAGACCTCACTGCAAGAAACAAAGACAAAGAAAAAAATAAAACTGTGGGCAAGTAATGTTGGTTTATTTATTTTTTTTGAGACGGCGTCTTGCTCTGTTGTTGAGGCTGGAGTGCAGTGGTGTGATCTTGGCTCACTGCAACCTCGGCTTCCTGGGTTCAAGTGATTCTCCTGCCTCAGTCTCCAGAGTAGCTGGGACTACAGGTGCCCACCACCATGCCCGGGTAATTAAAACATTTTTTTTGGTGCTTCAGCTGTTGTTTATTGACATACAGGTAGGCTCTATAGCAACAGGCCTGGAGGCACTGCTGTAGTGGGGGAAAATGGAAGGTGGAGTGTTTGCTGCAGGACAGCTGAGTAGAGGGCGGGGACAGGTGCAAACTGGGGAGGCCCAGGGGGTTGGGGAATCAAGTAAGGGCCAGGGCCAGAGTCAGCTTAAATGGAACAAGTGCCCTGTGTGCTAAGGCCCCTAACTCTCGCTGGCCATTTCCTGCCCCCAGACCAGGGCTGGGAGTCCTCTGGGCATCCATTTTCTAAAGGAACTGAACAGAGTGCACACAGGAAAGGAAGCTGTCACCCTCTTGCTATCTGGCTCCTGGGGCCTCCAGTCTGGCATTCCTCCTTCTTCCCTTGACTGGGTGGGGCCACATGATGGGCAGCCAGGCTCTGAGCTGTCCTACCAGAGCAGGCTGTAAACACAGCCATGTTTCATCGAGGCGTTTATCTTCTTCTCTGGTGTCCCAGCCCACCAATGCCACATTACAACCCAGAGTGAGCTCTACAAGCATTGCTGGCCTAATAGATGGGTTGGGGGAAGGGGGTGGGACAGGGACCGGAGGAGGGACTCTGGGGTCCATCACAGCACAGGAACAGCATTCATGGTGCTGTTGGTGAAGCCGGAGCCAGGGCACCACCCAGTCAGCACAATGACCACATCTCCCTTCTTGAAGAAGCCTTTGCAAGTGGTAGATGGTGGCCTCTGCCTCACGGGCAATCAGGTGCTGCATGCACACAGCCTCCAGAGGATAGTCACCTTTTGCTGTCACTTGGGCCTTGGCGACATTCATGGCCAAGTTCACCTGGAGGTCCACATCCTCAGCCCAGGCCTCCTGGACAGGGTCCTTACACAGCCCAGGGAAGATGCTATGGTACAAGTGGGCCTGACGAGCTGTCTGGGGATTCCGTGTCACAGCAATGATGGGGGCACATGGGTGGTATCTGGCCACCTGGTGAGCAGACCTGCCAGACTTGGTGAGGACGATTATGGCCCCACTGCAGCACTTGAAGGAGGCCTCCACGGCATCTACAGTGGTGGCTTCTGTGGGTTCATTGGTAATGGGCGCCAGGCGGCAGAGTTCCTCAAATAATTGCAAGTGGTAGATGGTGGCCTCTGCCTCACGGGCAATCAGGTGCTGCATGCGCACGGCCTCCAGAGGATAGTCCCCTTTTGCTGTCACTCCAGACAGCATGATACAATCAGCTCCATCCAGGACTGCACTGGCCACATCACTGCCCTCAGCCTGGGTGGGGCGGGGCTTCTTGGTCACGCTCTCCAGCATCTGAGTGGCACAGATGATAGGCTTTCCAGCTCGGTTGCACCGCCCAATCATCATCTTCTGAGCAAGGAAGACCTTCTCTGCAGGAATTTCAATGCCTAGATCACCACGAGCCACCATGATCCCATCATTGGCCTCCAAGATTTCATCAAACCTCCAAACCCCCTCATGATTCTCGATTTTGCTGATTATCTTGATGTTCTTCCCCTTCTCTCCCAGGACCTTCCTCACTTCATGGACATCAGCTACCTCGTGGATGAATGACGCAAACACCATATTGACATCCTGCTCAACCCCAAACTTCAGGTCCTGGATGTCCTTCTCTGACACAGCAGGCAAGTCCACAGCAGCCCCAGGAAAGTTCACACCCTTCTTGCTGCCCAGGGAGCCACCATTTTCCACCTCTGTCACCAGGAAGTCAGCACCTTTCTGCTTCACCTGGAGGGAAGTAAGCCCATCATCCACGTAGATCTTGCGGCCCACTTCTACCACCTTGCAGATGTTCTTGTGGTCCAGCCATGGGATGTTCTCATCACACTTTTCCACGTAGGTGTTATCCAGCGTGATTTTGAGAGTGGCTCCCTTCTTCAGCTCTACCTCTGCGGTGCCGCTGCCCTTGATGAGGCCAGTTCAGATCTCAGGTCCTTTAGGGTCCAGAGCCACAGCAACAGGCTGGTAGAGGATGGGGTCAGAAGCAAAGCTTTCCATGGCTGCGCGCACGTTCTTGATGGTCTCCACGTGGTACTCATGAGTTCCATGTGAGAAGTTGAGATGAGCCACATTCATTCTAAACTTAATCATCTCCTTCAATGTCTCCACTGATCGGAAGCTGAGCCAATGATACAGATGATGCCAGTGCTCCAGGCTGTGATGGGTGGTGAGTCAATGTCCAGGCGGCACATGTGTTGCAGGAATGTATCAGCCATGGCTGCATGTAGCTGCTGGGTCTGAATGAAGGCAGTCCCGACTTCACTATGGGGCCTCGACATGGCTGCTGAGGTCTTCGGGGGCTGACGGATTCAGGCTGCCCTGCAAACGTGAGATCTGTAGCCGTTGGATTCACAGCTGCTGTGCCATTTTTTTTTTTAAAGTCAATACACATTTTTTTTTTTTTAATTTTAAAAGATGGGGTTTCACCATGATGGCCAGGCTGGTCTTGAACTCCTGACCTCAGGTGATCCACCCACCTAGGCCTTCCAAAGTGCTAGGATTACAGGTGTGAGCCACCACGCCAGGCTTTTTTTTTTTTTTTTAAGTCAATCAATTTTTATTCAAGGAATTCCATGTTGTAATTCCTTCTACTGCCCATCAAAGTCACTTTCGATCCTCTAAAGAGTTGGAGTGTCAGACTTGCAGAAAGGTTTTTTTAAAAAAAAGTAAAAAAAATAAGAGTTGGAGTGAAAAGATTTATCTTCAGGTTAGCCCTTTTTAATGAAACTGATGCTTATTTTAATCTACTTGTCCTGTCAGCCCTACATAACAAAAATATAAAAGTAAAATTTACATTTCCAGAGATGATTGTACAGTGAGTGAACATGAATGAACCAGCCTGAGTTAACGGCTACACACAAACTGCAGCCCCCAAGGGTTATAATGCACAAGGGTTACAAGACAAATGCAAAGCACATTTGCATGATTCAAGAGATCTAGGCTACACTGCCCAAAAGACAATTTTAAAATCTCATTGATTACCGATGAAACAGCTATTAGAAAAAAAAGAAAATTTGGGCCGGGCGCGGTGGCTTACGCCTGTAATCCCAGCAGTTTGGGAGGCCGAGGCGGGTGGATCACGAGGTCAAGAGATCGAGACCATCCTGGTCAACATGGTGAAACCCCGTCTCTACTAAAAATACAAAAAATTAGCTGGGCGTGGTGGTGCATGCCTGTAATCCCAGCTACTCAGGAGGCTGAGGCAGGAGAATTGCCTGAACCCAGGAAGCGGAGGTTGCGGTGAGCCGAGTTCGCGCCATTGCACTCCAGCCTGGGTAACAAGAGCAAAACTCCGTCTCAAAAAAAAAAAAGAAAATTCACATGTGGCTCACATTATATTTGTATTGCATTTCTATTACAGTTAATCAAATATTCCCAATAGGCTGATTGCTGGAAAGGTAGTAGATAGAAAACCTACTGGGAAATTTTTTTATGGTCGTGTCCACAGCAAATGAGAAAAAGCATTCTAAAAGCCCTGGTAATGCCCAGCTGATTTTGTATTTTTAGTAAAGACGGGGTTTCTCCATGGTGGTCAGGCTGGTCTCGAACTCCTGACTTCAGGCGATCAGCACGCCTCAGCCTACCAAAGTGCTGGGATTACAGGCATAAGCCACCGTGCTTGGCGTAATGTTTAATTTATATTTGGTTATTCCCCAAAATTATTCCATCTTGGGAATTTACATAGAATGAAATAAAAATCTAACTTTCAAAATCCTTTTCAAATATAATAAACTTCTTCTAGATATTAATTATTTTATTTATTTGTACTTTTTAAAACCAGAACATTTATTATGTGACTAATCGTTGAAATTCTTAAGATGAACTGGATGCTGTAACAGCTGCCCTCTTGGATTTAGATGTCGTTCCTTCACAGAATCCATGCCTGAATCTGAGGTATACAATTTTTAGGTGCCTCATTCGACCAGTCCTGGTGGTATTTCGTCTTTTAGCCTTGGCACTCCAGTTATACTTTCTCTTGCGCTTGGCAGGGTAGCCACATTTGCCACAGGTCGACTTTTGAAGGTGGTAGGCTTTAGAGCCGCAGCGGCGGCACGTGTGCGTCTTATGGCGATGCTTTCCAAATGATGACGTTCCCTTCATCATCTCACTTCTGCAGCCAAGACCAGAGAGCTGGATATTAATTTCATAATGAATAAACTCATGCTCCATGTGTAGACATATAATTAAGAGCTTTCTTCATTTCAGAAAATCAATTGTGCACAAACATAACTTTTGTTTTAATGTTAGTATTAAATTTTTTTTCACTTCAAAGAGACCCCAGAAGTGTCTAAAAGTTAAACACAGTATATTCACATAGTAAACAAATCAATCAATCAACCCAGGGAAGTATAAATAGAAAAGTAAATAACACAGTATATTCACATAGTAAACAAATCAATCAGTCAACCCAGGGAAGTATAAATAGAAAAGTAAATTCTTTTTTCTATCAGCCAATCCCTTACTCCAGAGTTTAGAAGCAACCACCACTGACACTGTCTTATTCATCCTTCCAGAAAATCTACATTCATACTCTATCATGATACAAACCAACTGTACAAAAATACAAAGATACCATTTGTACAAAAACACAAATGTGTATAAAATTATATTTTTATCCAAGAGGTATTGTATTATGCATATTGTTATAAATCTATCACATTGTTTTCAGATATTGCATAACATTCCACAGGATGAACTGTAATGTACTGAGCTAGTGTCCTATAAGCATAACTTTTTGGCCAGGTGTGGCTGCCCACGCCTGTGATCCCAGCACTTTTGGAGGCTGAGGTGGGTGGAACACTTGAGGTCGGGAGTTCGAGACCAACCTGACCAACATGGAGAAATGCTCTCTCTACTAAAAATACAAAATTAGCCAGGCGTGGTGGCACATGCCTGTAATTCCAGCTACTCTGGAGGCTGAGGCAGGAGAATCACTTGAACCTAGGAGGCGGAGCTTGCAGCGAGCCAAGATTGCGTCATTGCACTCCAGCCTGGGCAACAAAAGCGAAACTCCAAAACTCCATTTCAAAAAAAAGGAAAGAAGGAAGGAAGGAAGGAAGGAGGGAGGGAGGGAGGGAGGGAGGGAAGGAGGGAGGGGAGGGAGGAAGGAAGGAAAGAAACCTAGGGATTTATGTGAGCCCGTAATTACAGGAACTAGCCTCACTGGGAGAGGAGGCAGTGCTAGAGAAACCCTGTGAGGACACAGTATTTAAACTGCTACCTGAGGGATGAATAGAATTAGGTGGGCAATGTGTGCGGAGTGCCAGAGAAAATCTGAAAACACCATGTGAAAGAGTCATGTGGCAGGAATAAACTTGCCACGCTGGAGGAACAGTGAAAAAGCTGAGGTGGCTGGAACAGGAGGGAGAGTGCAGGTAAGCAGGGGCCACATCACACAGGCTGTAACTAATGCTCTTTTCTTTTTTGAAATGATTACTGGACAGTAGATGAAAGAAATGAAAACACACTGTTGGGGAGAATACATCAAACATCATTTCTGTTTTTACCCTTTTTAGGTTCTTAGTTGAGACACTTGAAAACAACAGTCAGATTAACAAAAGAAAAACAAGTTTATTAACATGCTGTACCCAAATGGGAGAGGTCTCAGTTCAAAAGTATTTCTCTCTCCAGGCTGTGGCTTAGGGACCTTGTTTAAATATTATTTTAAACAAAGAGCCATGAATTTTTTTTTTTTTTTTTTGAGACAGAGTCTTGTTCTGTCACCCAGGCTTGAGTGCAGTAGCATTCTCTCAGCTCATGCAACCTCCACCACCTGGGTTCAGGAGATCTTGTGCCTCAGCCTCCCGAGTAGTTGGAATTATAGGCATGTGCCACCATGCCCAGCTAATTTTTGTATTTTAAGTAGAGACAGAGTGACACCATGTTGGCCAGGCTGGTTTCGAACTCCTGGCCTCAAGCAATCCACCTGCCTCGGCCTCCCAAAGTGGTGGGATTACAGGCGTGAGCCACTGCACTCAGCCAGAGCCATGAATCTTACATAGTGAGGAAACAAAGAAGAGTGTGTTGGGCTTCCGAAAGGCAGGAAGACGTGGGAAGGTCAATTAATGGGAAGAGGAAAGTCTGCTCCTGGATCCTCTAGCACCGCTGTCTCTGAGCTCTTTCTGAGTTGATTAAGGCAGAGTTAGGAAGGGCAGTGTGCCCATGTGTTTTAACCTTTTAATTTTAACTAAAATCCCTAGTATTTTAGAGAGAAATATTTTGGTTTCCTTCAACACACTAAATTTGTTTTCTGTAAGGTAATTGATCAAAATGCTTGAGATGAACAAGTTATCATTTCTTTCTTTTTTTCTTTTTTTTTTTTTGAGATGGAGTCTTGCTCTGTTACGCAGGCTGGAGTGCAGTGGTGCGATCTCAGCTCACGGCAACCTCAAGCGATTCTCCTGCCTCAGCCTCCTGAGTAGCTGGGACTACAGGCTCGAGCCACCATGCCCGCCTAATTTTTGTATTTTTAGTAGAGATGGTGTTTCATCATGTTGGCCAGACTGGTCTTGAGCTCCTGACCTTGTGATCCACCCACCTTGCTCCTCCCAAAGTGCTGGGATTACAGGCATGAGCCACCATGCCCGGCAAACCAGTTATCACTTCTACAACCAAATTATATCCCAAATCCATCCACTTCCCCCTTTCTCCTTCCTAGATCAAATCACCACCCTCTCTCCCCTGGGCCACAGCTACCGGTCTTGTTTTCACTTTTACTTCCCACAGTCCATCCTCTATACAGTAGCCAGAGTGATCTAAAACCTAAATCAGATACCTTGAATTCTTTGCTCAAGAATCCTTCGCTGGCTTCCCATTTGTCACAGGTTGAGTTTATCACAGATGCAGAGATTGAGTTTTGGATTCAAGATGTTATTAAGGTCTAACACCTGTGAAAGGAAGAAAGAGAAATCTGAATTAGACGGAGGAAGAAATTAGTGATACAGACTCAAAATAGCTTTGGCCCACCCATCAGGGAGCTCTGAAACAAGAATTGTCCATTAGCATTGTTTGATGAAAATAACTGGGGCTTTATAACCCTGCTCACTTAGTCTCTAAATGTGGTCTGCTCCAAGAAGGGTATATCCTTAAGCAGTGAGGCTCTCTGTGTCTGAGGCAGATCCTGAAAGAGCTATTTGCTGACTACATGCTTCACATCTGGGCATCAAGTCCTGCCTTAAAGGAAGATGTGGATGGTACATCTCTTGCCCATCTCGCCACTGCATTTAAAATAAAAGGCCTTGAGAGGCACGTTGGGTGAGTCTGTGGTCTCAGCTATTGGGAAGCTGAGGGTGAGGGCTGTTTGAGCCCAGAGTTCCAGGCCACAGTATCCTATCACTGCTCCTGTGAATAGCCGCTGTACCTTACCCCAGGCGACACAGGGAGACCCCATCTCTAAACAAGTAAGTAAATAAAAGAATTTTAAGACCTTACAGAATCTAGTTTCTGTCTACCTTTCCTCTCCTTGCCTTTGTTCACATCTTGCTCTAGGTACACTGCTCTCCTTGTTTCCTGAAGCCCATCCCTTCCTCCAGGCCTCCGTGCTTGCTGTTCCCTTGCCTGGAATGGTATACTCTCAGTCTTCACATGGTTAGTGCCTTCCTCCTCGTTTAGTGTTGCTCCATTTCACTTTCCTCATAAAATGATCTGATTTTTTATTTACCTCTATCTCATCAAGTAGAATGTAAATTTCATGACAGTCTGGGTATGGTCTATTTTTTTTTTTAACTGTTCTAACCCCACTCAGTACCTAGAAACACAGTAGACCACAAATATTTATATTGTTTTGTTTTAAAGATGAGATCTTGCTCTGTGCCCAGGCTGGAATGCAGAGGTGTGATCATAGCTCACTGCAGCCTCAAATTCCTGGTCTCAAGTGATCTCCTGCCACAGCCTCCCAAGTAGTTAAGACTACAGGCATTTACCACAACACCTGGCTAATTTTTTTGGGGGGGGCGGAGATGAAGTTTTGTTCCTGTTGCCCAGGCTGGAGTGCAATGGTGCCATCTTGGTTCACCTCCTGGGTTCAAGCGATTCTCCTGCCTCAGCATGAGCCATCATGCCCAGCTAAATTTTGTATTTTTATTAGAGAAGGGGTTTCTCCATGTTGGTCAAGCTGGTCTCAAACTCTTGACCTCAGGTGATCCATCCACCTCAGCCTCTGAAAGTGCTGGGATTATAGGTGTGAGCCACCAAGCCCAGCCTCTTTTTTTTTTTTTTTTTTTTTTTTAAGTCGGAGTTTCTCTCTTCTTGCCCAGGCTGGAGTGCAGTGGTGCCATCTCGGCTCACCGCAACCTCCGCCTCCCGGGTTCAAGCGATTCTTCTGCCTCAGTCTCCCGAGTAGCTGCGATTACAGGCATGCACCACCATGCCTGGCTAATTTTGTATTTTTAGTAGAGACAGGGTTTCTCCATGTTGGTCAGGCTGGTCTCGAACTCCTGACCTCAGGTGATCCACCTGCCTCTGCCTCCCAAAGTGCTGGGGTTACAGGTATGGGCCACCACGCCCAGCCGAATTGTGGTTTATTATTCAAGTAATGAGCTATTGTACAGCAATGAGAGTGAGTGAACTACTGCTATCAGAAACATGAAGAAACTTCACAAAGAAAATGTTGAAAGAAAAACCAAACACACACAAGAGTATAGATTGCATGATGCCACTTGTATGTATATTTCCAAACTAGCCAAAACTATTCAGTGGTATTTTTTTTTTTTTTAAGATGGGGTTTCACCAGGATGGCCAGGCTGGTCTTGAACTCCTAACCTCAGGTGCTCCACCCACCTCAGCCTCCCAAACTGCCCGGCCTATTCAGTGGTATTAAAAGTCAGGACTGGTTCTCTATAGGAAGGAGGAAGGGGGCATGAGGTAGGCCTCTGAACTGCTGGTAATAGCTTTCTTGACCTGTGTGGTGGTTATACAAATGTGTTTACTTTGCAATAATTCATTGATCATTGATGTGTGCACTTATGATTTGTGTGCATTTTATGTGTGTGTTATATGTTAATTCTTTTTGGGATGGAGTTTTGCTCTTGTCACCCAGGCTGGAGTGCAATGGCATGATCTCAGCTCACTGCAGCCTCCACCTCCCAGGTCCAAGCGATTCTCTTGCTTCAGCCTCCCAAGTAGCTGTACTTACAGGATGCGCCACCATGCCCGGCGAATTCTGTATTTTAATAAAGATGGAGTTTCATCACGTTGGCTAGACTGGTCTCGAAATCCTGACTTCAGGTGATCCACCCACCTTGGCTGCCCAGAGTGCTGGAATTATAGATGTGAGCCACCATGCCTTGTCTATTATGTGTTAATTTTAAAGTTAAGAGTGAAATAAACTTGAGAGATTTATTTAACTAAAAACTCAGGTGTAGTTGCTGATTTTCAATAAAATACTTGTCACATTTTGCCAGTTAGTATCATAGTTCCTTCTCATTTGGGGTAGTATTTATATGTTGAAGTAGTGATTTTATTTCATGGTTTTTATTATAATGCCTACTGAATGCACTATAACACCTATTGCTGCAGGGATGGGGGGCAAGGGGTATTTTCATGTGCTGCTACTGAAATATACACTGTTACAGTCTTTTTGGAAACCAATCTGGCAACAGCTATTATTTTACTTTTTCTTTGTTTTTTCCTAGCAAACAATATTCTATCACAACAGCCATTATTTTAAAAATACATATACCTTTTGGCTGGGCACGGGGGCTCATGCCTGTAATCCCAGCACCTTGGAAGGCTAAGGTGGGTGGATCACGAGGACAGGAGATTGGGACCCTCCTGGCCAAGCTGGTGAAACCCTGTGTCTACTAAAAATACAAAAATTAGCCAGGCCTGATAGCATATACCTGTAATCCCAGCTACTCAGAAGGCAGAGGCAGGAGAATCACTTGAACCCAGGAAGCAGAGGTTGCAGTGAGCCAAGATTGCACCATTGCACTCCAGCCTGGGTGGTAGCTTGAGACTTGGTCTCAAAAATAAAATAAAATAAAAAATAAATAAATAAAATACATATACCCTTTGACCCAGCATTTGCAGTCCTGGGAATCTATCCTCTGAAATCAAACCATTAGTTTCAATAAAACTATTGGAGTAAAAACACTATAGGACATATGTCCAAGGACATTCGTTGCAGCATTTGAAGTGGCAACACACACACACACAAATTGTAAATACTACGGATGCCCATCAATAGAGTGATGGGTACAAAAATTATAGTGCATTCACATTTCAGAACATCCATAAAAAGGAATAAATGTGTACTCTACCAGTTGACTTAGAGGGATTCTACGCACAAAAATGTTTTTAGTAAAAGTGACAAGGTGTAGTCACTTTTTAAATGACAAAAAAATCTGCATTGAATATGTGTACATTTGTATTTGTCTATATGTGATTATATGAGTATAGAGAAAAATGTTAACAACTAGGTTGATACATTGGTTAGGTGGGTGGAGGGGGGAGGGGACGGGCTAGCAGATGGTGGGGATGGTAGAATCAAGGGAGAAAGGAAAAATAAAATAAGCGGTAATCTTGTATTACAGTTAAACAATCAAACGCAGTCTTAGGGGTATTGATATATTATACTGTGACCAAGTCAAAGGACGTAATAATCCCAGTGTGCTTTATGCTGTTTACATCGAATCTAGCATATTGTACTAATTCCTGGACACCACATTACAATCAAAACAAATAACGCCCTACTTGTCACTGCCAAAAGAAAGAAATTGTTTTTCTTATAAGAGGAACGGTCTGCCAGGCACGGTGGCTCCAACACTTTGGGAGGCTGAAGTGGGAGGATGGTTTGAGCCAAGGAGTTTGATAGCAGCTTGGGCAACATAGGGAGACCCCGTCCCTAAAAACGAAAAAAATTATCTGGGCATGGTGGCTCGTGCCTGTGGTCCCAGCTACTTGGGAAGTTGAAGTGGGAGGACTGCGTGAGCCCAGGAGATCCAGGCTGCAGAGAGCAGTGATCACACCGCCACACTCCAGCCTCGGTGACCAAGTAAGACCTTGTGTCAAAAAAAACCCCAAAATAACAAAAAAACAAAAAGAGGCAGTGGCTCACTCCTGTAATCCCAGCACTTCGTGAGGCCGAGGTGGGTGAATCATAGGGTCAGGAGATTGAGACCACCCTGGCCAATACGGTGAAACCTTGTCTCTACTAAAATACAAAAAATTAGCCGAGCTTGGTTGTGTGTGACTGTAGTCCCAGCTACTTGGGAGGCAGCAGAGTGGCTTGAACACCTGAGGAGGAGGTTGAGTGAGCTAAGATTGTGTCACTGCACTCCAGCCTGGCGACAGAGCAAGACAGTCTCAAAAAAAGAAAAAGAAGAGGAATACTTAAAAATCAGGCAAACCTGGGTTCCAACATTATATCAGCCACTTACTTAGCGTGTGGCCTTGGGCAAATTATTTAATCCCTCCATGCCCGTTTCCTCATCTGTACAATGGGAATAATTACAATGCCTATCCCTCAGGGATATTGTAGTGTAATTAGATATACCTGCCAAGAACTGCATCTAGAAAAAACTCAATAAAAATGTTTTCATTATTATTATCATTTTTGAGACCAAGTCTTGCTCTGTTGCCCAGGCTGGAGCTCAGCAGCACGATCTCCACTCAGTGCCACCTCCGCCTCCTGGGTTCAGGTGATTCTCCTGCCTCAGTCTCCTGAGTAGCTGGAACTATAGGCACCCACCACCACACCCGGCTAATTTTTTTTTTTTTTTTGAGATGGAGTCTCGCTGTTGTTACCCAGACTGGAGTGCAATGGCACGATCTCGGCTCACCGCAACCTCTGCCTCCTGGGTTCAAGTGATTCTCCTGCCTCAGCCTCCCGAGTAGCTGGGACTACAGGCGTGCACCACCATGCCCAGCTAATTTTTGTATTTTTA